TGTCCCATTTAATCTCTTTGGATTAAGAAAAGAACGAGGCAGAACAGGATTAGTATGAGCTCTTAAATGATAAAAGCAGTCTGGTTATCCTATTCCTGTCCAAGCTCACATTTGTACTGTGTCCGCCATGATGCAAACCTACATAATAGCGGATCTTAAGTTATTTTTCTTAAAGAATGGCAAAAGATTCTTTTTCCTTCTCAAAAATGAAGGTAAATGCTAAGAAAGATTTACCATTTTATAGTGTCGTTGTCAAATATGTTTTAAGATGGAAAATGACTTCAAAATGGCCAGGGCTATGACTACGTGAACATGTCACACATGACAGGCTTCTCTCTCTCTCTCTCTCTCTCTCACACACACACACGCACTCACAATGGTTATGATCAAAGTCATCCATCAATTCTTGTCCACTGGAATCACTTTAAATTTCAGGACTTTAGTCATTTTCTCCGTTAGCACTGATGGTCTCTTAACATTTTCAGCTCCAATAATCATGGTTTGAGGAATAAATAAACTTTAAATTCATCGATTTAAATGCTGATTTAATGAGAAAGTATTTGGCCAAAATCTCATACTGAATCATTGTGGCTCTTCTTTAACTGAGGTTACCAAGCTGCGGACTGACGTGTGGGGTGCCCCTTAGGGGTCTGAGCCCCAAGTGTACTGCCAGCAGGAGGCCGAGGGGTGCACCTCACCGTCCAGGTCACCGCCAGCCCTGGTGCTGGGGACTTCTCCCCACCAGCCCTCCCTCCTTTTCTTCCTCTCTCAACGGGTTTATTTTTTTTCTTGGCGAAGAAAGTTTTGTGAGGATGACAAGGGACGGGAACAACTTTAGACTGTGAACTACAAAGAGTTTCCTCTGTAAGCCAAATGTTTGTTATACACTAATTGACATATTTACTCTCGAGGGTTAGAACTTTAAAAATCTGCAATGATTTCCTGTATCTGCAAATGTACCCAGCTTTCCCAGCAATTTAAATAGAAAATTTAACGTTAAAGATTGGGCTGACCTTAAATATTGCGCCAAGCAATGTCTGTGCTTCTGGATAATCTAGACTAGGTTTCCCCCACCTTCCCATTTACACGAGAGAGAACAGACAAAATAATATAAAAAAGAGGTATAATTGTGCTTTCTTCCCGCAAAAATGAATGAATTATGTAGAACAAAATGGCATGATAATCTCACTAAAAATCTTTTAATTATAACTGTATTTTCCCTTTAAAACAAAAAAAAAGGATTGTTAATTTCTAATAATGCCACCATGAAGTACAGATAGGTATGGTCCTACACAAAATGAAAGTTGGATTCCTTTGGTTCCATTTCTTAAGTAATAAGATGAGTAAATTGGGATGGTATTGGTCTTTATCAAATAAATAAAAGGAAGTGTGTACTGTGTCAGGTAATGGAGATGAACATTTTTTTTAATTCTAAAAAGCTGCCGATATAATTTCAGAAACATTTAAACTAATATAGCACTCAACTTATTTCTTAAATTAGGAACAATTAATACTGTTCCTATGAGAAGCCCTTTTCTAGGTCTTTCTGCTCTGTCCTTCAGATTCACACAGGGTATAAAATAAAGTTCATGACCAAACTGCACTGCTTGTGATAAGCAGAATTCAATTACATTCACCACTCCCTAGGGAGGGCCCATTACCATGGGCAAATATAGTATCACCATAAATGCATTCAGAATTAGTCTTTGGTTTAATATGTATTCACCAAATTCAGGGGGATGAAATAAAATTTGCATAATCATTGGGGGGGGAAGAATGTACAATGAATTATGATGACCTATGTGGCCCATCCGCTTAGAAACGCAGAAACTCTACCAAACACCTCTTTTTGATCAAATGGCCCCCTTAATTTCTAGACTCTCCCATATAAGGGGGTTAAAAGTTAAGTCTGAGCACCTCAGCTTAGGAGACTCACTCAATTCAAAAAGCATTTCTTGAGATGATAAAAAAACATAAAGTAAAAAAAGGACCAAAAGTTGGGTCATGAAGCAGTAGGATCAGCAGACTATCTAGGGGTGGTGATGGGGAGGTGATTTTAAGCTAAACACCCATCAACAAAGTGTTTTAGTGTTTCATGTGTACATGTACAAATGTACCTTTCATTTTACAGTTTGTCTTTAAATAAGAAAAAAATGAGAAAAATTTTTTAAAGTTACCTTTGTCTAAGGATTTATTTCTTTTAAACACATATTTTTATGCTGGTTTAAGGTTTATCCTCATAAAGTGATCCACACACACAAAAAGGCAGAATCCCCTTATCCCAGATTGACTAGAGAATACAGACAGGGCAGGGAATAGAAGACCATCGTACTGACATTTAAAGCTTAGTATCTTTTAAAATATTGAATTCTGTTGGTGAATCTGATTTGGGAGAGGGAGCATCTTCTGAACCACACAGGAAAACAAATCAACAAGCACAGTCTTTCCTTGCCCTTCCTTTTGATCCACTGGGTTTGAGTCCCTGAGGACTCTACACTTCCTTTGGTAGCAATTTTGGGAAATTAATGCTATAACCTCTAATCCAGGATGGTGGGTCTCAGCATTTCCTTCCCTGAATCCTTCCTCCTAACTTACCACTCCCAGGGGAGGGACTCGTTCCAATGGGCAGCCAGAGTATTACTGATGGCCCTAAAACCATTTGTACACACTAAAGTTAGAGATGTCAAGTCAGGATAAAAGATTAAACTTAACTACATTAGAGAAATAGCCATATGGAGAGGAGAGAAACTCGTAACTGACACTACCATTCTATTTACACACCCAACTACATAAACTAGTTAAAATCAAGGTAATGTCCGCCCAGAGGATATTACAATTTACCAACATAAACGATTAAAACAAGCAGCAACTTTTATATAAAATTAATAAAGACAAATGAAAAAAAGAAATTGTCAGTAGCATCTATCTCCTCAATGTGTCTGAAATGCACGTTATAAACTAGTCCATTAGTACAGCAGCTTGCTAAAAATTGACTTTGGTTCAAGCTTAGTTAAAACAACAACAACAACATAAAAAAAACACACCACACATAAAAAAGGTGGATGGACATTTGTTAGTTTCCCTGCTTGCAGTTCACTGATTTTTGGAGGGATTTTAGGGAAGGTGAATGGTGAGAAGAGGAAATTTAGGTTGATAATTAAATACAACGTGAAATAAAACCGGAAGACAGAAGCAACAAAAGAAAAACTAACAAAGGGACTAAAAATGTTTCTGGCCTTTTAATATGAAGGTGCCTGTCTCCCACTTGGATGATCACAAAGAAATATACACACTGTGTCTGTATCACTGCCTTTCCCAACACTGTGAAGAGACAAATACACAGATTCCCAGCTCCCTTCCGGGACACAAGCAGAGCAATCAGAACGAAAATGACCTGTACACCCTCTCTCAGACCCCAGCTCGAAAGGGGGGGGGGGGAGTGCAGTCTTGGGCCTCCAGAGACATAAGCAAGCACCCACAGACACCAAATGGGAACCTTGACCTCCAAGACGAAGGGGAGCTCAGATGAGCCACACTGCAGAGATCCAGTCTTCTGGGAAATGTTCTGGTACAGATATTGTAATCATACTATGCTGACAGAAAGGGGAACTGAATTTCCAAGTTACCCTCCTTCCTCTTCATCTACTTCCATAAACTCTTCCTTTCCATGGGCTCATTTACATAGTCTAGAAACACCCTGAAAACAATTCCAGAAGCTAATCACTTTCTACATTGTATAGCGAGACGGGTATTGCCATTGTGACCTACCTAGCTGGAGCATCACTAACAAACCAAGGAGACACTTGAGGTGTGTGCAAAGTTCCTGCTCAAAGTCCTTCAAAGGTTCTCAAGACCCCATGCCCAGCTAGTAAGTGCATTCTCCAGTCAGGGAAGCAAGGAGCGTCTCAGGGTTAGAGGAGTTTACGCGCCGTCCAGTGAAAAGGAAGCCTGTGGCCAGAGGAAAAGGTGGTAGCCTCAGACTCTTCTCATCACACCTCTTTGGGAATACAGAATCGATGGCAATAGTCTAGTGGAGTTCCTTCAGAAAACAAAAGAAGGGCGGAGTTTCCCAATTTCCGTAAGTCAATTTGCTCTTTGCCAAGTAAATGAAAGGAAGTTTGGATGAAAAACTTCCACAAAATGGAAACAAACAAACAAACACACCAACAGTAGGAGCATTTTTCAGGAGATAAGAAATCAGGAGAACCACCAAGTCAGGTGTCTGCAGTAGTCTTTGCTCTTCGGGCCCAGATCCTGCCCTGCCGCGTGCACGGCCGTCCCCATGGGAAGTCGCAGAGGCAGCACCGGGGCACCGCAGGGTCTGGGCCTCAGGGTCATTCAATGATCTGGGGTGAGAGCTACAGTTCAGCAGGAATTCCTTCCTACACAAAAGTGCTCCAAAGGCACCACCTGATGGGGGGAGGGGGCGTGTGTGGGGTGGGAGTGTTTGCACACACTGCCTTCAGCTTCTGCACCAAGCCTCTTGCATAAGTGGCAAAAGAAAATAATTTTCTAGCACCTCTGTAAGAGTCATCAAGGATAAGGAAACCAGCAAGAACATTCCCCGCAGTTAAGAACGTTAAGTCTCCCCTTACCCCCAAACCCTCCCTCCCCACAGTGTGGGAGCTCACTGAAATAGGATCCAGGAGCAAGAGATAAACATGTCCAAACTATATATATATATATATAAAAAACAATAACAACAACAATAATAATAGAGATACAGTAATACAGGCCTGCCTAAATTGTACCAGTTAAGAAAGGAACCCCCAACACAATTGATACGATTATAAACACCTTGTTATGACTTAATGGCCTGTACAACAGACCCATAAAAATGATTTTTTTTTTAAGAAAAAAAGAAATTTAGACAAACAAGAAATCTCCTTCCTATATTGGAATTGGTAACCCACCTTAACTTGTCATCATGACTGCTGGAAATGATAAGTAGTCCTTTCACTTCTTTTTTTGTTTGTTTGTTTTTGACTTTTTGTTTCTGCTTTTTTTTTTTTTTTTTAAATTTTTGGTTAGAAAGTTCTCCAATCCATGAAGCAATCCTGAAAAGACAGTGTTTTATTACAAAATTAGGCAAATGTTGTCCTGTCCCCATCCTTTTTTTTTTTTCTGGTATGCGTTCTTTTCCTTCTCTCCCTTCTTTCCCTTGCTGTTGAAACATGGCAAGAGGAAGCCAATCACATTTTTCAGTCTCAGCCTGGCTGGCAGCCTGATCATGCCGCGAGTGGAAAAGGCCAGTGGCAGCCCCGTGCAGCCCAGCTCACTGTGCCTTGGAGGCGGTGGTGGTGGTGGAGGTGGCCCCACTGGCAGAGGCCACTGTGAAGAGAGAGTTCTGGATGGACTCAGCGGAGGTGGAGGTGGCGTGAAGGCTGGCTACAGGTCCAGAGTTCCCTGCGGAGGCTGCAGCGGCAGAGACCAAGCTCACTGGGTTGCTGGTGAGCAGAGAGAGGTTCTGAGGGTTCAGGAACAGGGGGGCAGTCACGATGTTGGGGGCTCCTCCTGCATTGGCAAAGACCAGGTTCCCAGTTGCATCCAGTGACGTTATTGGAAGAGAGCCACCAGAGGCAAGAGCTACAGACAAAACGCCCCACAAACAGGCAGAAAGGAGAATGTTAAAACCATCCTAGAAAAGCCAAGTAGCACATCAAATGTACTGTTTTCCTACAACCCAGGTGGAAAAAGTACAGCCCTTAACTGACTTCTTATCTTAATCCCAGCGCTCGCCCGTCACCAACTGAAGTGTACTAATAATTTTGGAAGAGCCTGAACAGCTGTATTCTAATGAAGTTAACGAGCACAAGCACTACAGGTGGGGGAAGCCACGCTGCATCCTGGGGCCTCAACTTCCCAGAGAACTTCATCCTCCCAGGAGTATTTACTAAGTCCGATCAGTTTGTTTTTAATGAAGATTGCTGATTTTACACATTCATTCAAAAGGCAAACTAGGTACAGTGACTGGGACACTAAAATACAGTTAGCTTTTTGGGTGCCTGGGTGGCTCAGCCGGTTAGGCGGCTGCCTTCGGCTCGGGTCAGGGTCCCGGGGTCCTGGGATCGAGTCCCACGTTGGGCTCCCTGCTCAGCGGGGAGCCTGCTTCTCCCTCTCCCTCTGCCTGCCTCTCT